AGCCACATTAACACGCCACTTCACCGAAGACCTGCCAGAAGTCAGTATTGGCGAAATCGAAATTGCTCTTGGACAGCTTAAAAATGGAAAAGCCCCTGGAGAGGATGGTGTTTCAACAGAACTCTTAAAGGCTGGAGGTAAACCCGTACTGAGGGAGCTCCAAAAGCTTTTCAACACTGTCCTGTTCGAAGGGAGAACTCCGGAGGCGTGGAGTAGGAGTGTGGTTGTCTTGTTCTTTAAAAAGGGGGACAAGACCCAACTTAAGAACTATCGACCCATATCCCTTCTAAGCCACGTCTATAAGCTGTTCTCAAGAGTGATCGCGAACCGTCTTGCGCGAAGACTTGATGACTTCCAACCACCGGAACAGGCTGGGTTTCGGAGCGGATACGGCACCATAGACCACATACACACAGTGCGGCAGATTATACAGAAGACTGAAGAGTACAATCAGCCCCTGTGCCTAGCATTTGTGGACTATGAGAAGGCCTTTGACTCGATTGAAATCTGGTCTGTTCTGGAGTCCCTGCAGCGTTGCCAAGTCGACTGGCGATACATCCAAGTGATTAGATGTCTGTACGAAGCCGCCACCATGTCTGTCCAAGTACAGAATCAGCAAACAAGTCCCATACCATTGCATCGTGGAGTGAGACAAGGGGACGTTATTTCCCCGAAATTGTTCACTAATGCAGTGGAGGATATGTTCAAGACGCTGAACTGGAAAGGACGTGGCATCAACATAAATGGCGAACGCATCTCTCACTTGCGATTTGCAGACGACATCGTCATCATGGCAGAAACCCTGCAGGACCTACAACAGATGCTGAATGACCTGGCTGACTCTTCTATACGCATCGGCCTACGGATGAACTTGGATAAAACCAAGGTCATGTTCAATGAACATGTTCTACCGGAACCGATTGCAATACACGGTGCCGTTCTCGAAGTTGTTCAAAAATATGTGTACCTCGGGCAGACATTGCAGTTAGGTAGAAACAACTTTGAGGACGAGGTGAATAGAAGAATTCAGCTAGGTTGGGCAGCGTTTGGGAAGTTACGTCAAGTCCTGACATCGTCGATCCCACAGTGTCTGAAGACGAAAGTCTTCAATCAGTGCGTCCTACCTGTGATGACATACGGAGCCGAGACGTGGACACTGACGGTACGGCTGGTCCACAGGTTCAAAGTCGCTCAACGCGCTATGGAAAGGGCTATGCTCGGCGTTTCTCTGAAGGATCGCATCAGAAATGAGGTAATCCGGCAGAGAACCAGAGTTATCGACATAGCCCACCGGATTAGCAAGTTGAAGTGGCAGTGGGCTGGCCATATTTGTCGAAGAACCGATAACCGTTGGGGTAGACGAGTTCTGGAGTGGAGACCGCGTCTAGGCAAACGTAGTGTAGGACGTCCTCAGGCGCGATGGAGTGACGATTTGCGCAAGGTGGCTGGCAGGAGCTGGATGCGAGTGGCCCAAGATCGATCTGAGTGGCGTGCATTTGGAGAGGCCTATGTCCAGCAGTGGACTAGGATAGGCTGTTGATGATGATGATGATGATGATAAAAAAGTTATTTGAATAGTCATAAACAAAAAATTATCAGAAGCTGTTTTCACCGTGTTTTTAATAGGCCTATTAAAGCTCCTCCCTACAACCATAACAATTAAGCCCTTATATTTAATCTGTAGTATGCAAACAATGTGGGGAAGTTCCCTGACGTTCCCCTCGTGGGACTATGGGGAACGTTTGAGAAACAAAACTTTATTTTTTTCAATTGTTCCTCTCTACTCCAAACGTGCTTTAAACGTTATCTACTTGCAAAAAGAATATACATAATGAAATTCATGAAATAATGATATATTGGCGAAAAACTGTAAGACATAAAAACATGCATAACTTCTATGCTAATGATGCTACGAAATTGATTGAGTGCTCATATGAAAGATCTGGACGAAAGGGAAAAAGTCATAATTGGAGCATAATTTATGTTAAAATTGCAGCAAGTTCCTGTTTTACCCCGTTTTAAGAGTGAAATAATTGATTTTTCATATGTTTGACCTGATTCCGCATTTTTAGGCATTGAGACGAAGAGAATGAGTTGTCAAACTTTAAAATCGGATGACTTTTATTTTTCAACCCCAAAAAATGGCAAGTGGTACCCCATTCCATTTTTTCAGCTAGAAAATAAAAGTACTCCGATTTTGAATCATCGATTTACCTGATCATATTTGCCGTGAAATGGGACGTAAAGCTTGACAAATGCTCTCTACTACATTGAGTAATGGGTAGAGAGAAGTTTTCCAATTATTATTATAAACTTTAAAACATGAATAAAAAAAGTGGTCTAGGTGCAACCCAAAAGGTCCACACGACTAATTTGCCAGCGACCAATTTCTGCATAAAAAATGGCTGGACCGATTTTGCTCAAAATCTAATCAGATTAGAGTTACATAATTATGCATTGAATAAAACTTGTCCTAAGTCAATACCATAATTTGTTCTCGAGATACACGAGACGAAAATTGAATCCGAACATACATACATACATACGTACATATGCACACACGGACATCCTCTTAAAAACCATACCATTCGACTCTCGTCGACATCACCACTCGCAACTCGCAAACTCGACAGCAGTCCATTCCTCTGACTTCCCGTAGAAGAGCGTGATATGGATGCACTGCTATCAATCCAACACATAGCAAACACGATTAGCCACGGGACACGTATATCACGCGCGGTAGTTCAATCGGCCATGACATTGTTGAATTTTTTGCTGCAATAAACGTTCCAGCTCATATAAAGGGCTCAGGTATGGGTAGGAGTATTTCACAAGGTGCAAGGTTGCGCCCAGTTGCGCCCCTTATGTTTTTCTGCTGCGCTTGAATAAATACCCCTGAATATAGTTGAGCAAGCGAGATGGCTAGTTTAAGGTCATGCTCGTGTGAACACCTAACTATGTATACTGCTACTGTGGATAAGTCAAACTGATCGTTGTGTAGGTACCATTATACATAATAAATGTACCTACAGTCTACACATTATAAATAGGTAACAAAAATAAGATAATTACCAATTTTTCCACCAATTGTTTATAGCCGATAAACGTGAATGAGGTTTTTCTTCATTATTTTCCTAGTTTGATAATAAAAACAAACGCTACTCATAGGTAAAACCCCCTCGGCAAGGACTAACTAGAGCCGAGGTCCGAGTCTCAGAGACGCCCTCTAGTTGAGCCGACCCCCTCAGGATCGAGTGGTCTAGAGGCTCCAGACGGAGAGGAGACTCCCCCCGTGGGGAGATGCCATTCGCCTGGAATACTTCAAGAAGCACTCGCCAATTCTCGGCTTGAGGTCCCCCTTAAGATGCGTATACGCTAGACGAGCTAAACACGAGCGGAGCACTAGCGGAGCCGAAATTCGTGTAGTGTGGACCGGCTTACGAGCCTCGAACGAGCGCGCTTCGAGCGTTCGGTTCGTGCTCGCCCCGTTGTCGGTTTTTTGACGAACACAAAAGAATTTGCGTAGCTCTAGCAGTGCGCTCAAGGAGTCATTGTTTTAGGCTCGTTGCACTTCCACAGTTGACACTGTGAACGAGCGGCTCGGCTTGCGCTCTGCTCGTGCTCGGCTCGTCTAGCGTATACGTACGTATTAGCACGGTAATAATATCATACAGTATTGTATCTTCATACAAACGGTCGGAAAGCGAGTCATACCTACGCCACTCGAGTTCGAGGGGCTCTCGGCGGGCACCCAGTCGCGAATGCGCCGCCGCGCCGCAACGACGACCGAACGGTCTGAATTGTTTTTTATGCAGTTAGCCGTGCTTAAACGTGCGTTTTGTATTGTAAATATTTGATTTAATTAAGTAGATACCTACATAATTTAGTATGGAAAAGAACAAACGACGATCAATATCGTACAACAGCACAATTGCTGTTTTTGGTTGCTTGAACTCTTCAATAACACACCCAGAGATATCATTTTTTAAATTACCTGAAATATTGGAAAGGTGTCTTACCTTTATAGAATATTTTTTATATACCTATCTACTAGTACGTTATTTGTTTCTAATATTTAGGTATTTCGGTTTTTCCATTGGGAAAATATCTGGAATAATATATAAATAAGTGGTTAGGATGAAAAAAGAGACAAACGAGTAATCTACCTACACTCGCTTTAAAAACAAAACTACATAAAATACTGTAGGCTGGCGGCCCTACCGCGTGCCAACGCAGCGCTCGGTCGCAGGCATTTATTTTCAAGGACAGGGCGGAGTCACAATACTGTATAGATAATATTACCGTGGTATTAGGTTCTCGCCGTCCCCAAACCCGGTGACGCTGTAAAGGTTATCTGCGGCCAACAGCATACACACTCAAAAATAAAGGTAAAGACACAGCGGATTTGCGCTTGAAGTAGAACACCCATCTGTGGAATCTTTTGAGGCAAAGATTGCAGACAAATATTTTTGTATTGAGTTCCAGGAGCTGGGTCAGTATAGTCAACGCCCGAGTGATATTATATTGATTATGGTTAGCAGTAAACTATAGGATTTCTATAACTAGGTACGATTAATGGTTGTGGTTGAGAAAATGATATTGTACCTTGTACCTACTTCAACCACAACGACGCGACTCTACGAAATTTAACATTGCTCGAATCCACGATTGTTTTTTGGTAACAAAATCTGCCTCCCCCTTTGTTAGTCTTTTAATATCCGCACGGGAAAATTAGCACACAAAATTAACAGTAATCAGTACAGCACACAAATTAAAAAAAAGTAGAAGAATTAATTACTAAATATGTAACTGTCTGCCGCAACGATAGAAAAAGGCAAAAACTCAGCGATACCTTTGCTCCGAGAGCAAAGCACTAACGCGCGTAACGTAACGCGTGACTGACGTGATTAATACAAATACATTGTTTAATAATTATTGTTATTATAACTGTTATTATTATAACTTTCTAATATTCTTTTTTTTTATTAAAAAATACTCACTCGTAATTACTGTCGACGGATTGCACAGAACTGGGCGCGGATAAATCTTCTTCGCACCACTTCGCGGAGTTTTTGATGTATCGCATTTTCCGCCGATAAATGGTAATGGCTGATGACACACCACACGCGGCTGAACTTCGCAGTTCGCAACTATCGTATGACCGTTTATAATAATAATAACCAACTAGGTACGTTAAAAAAATTGAGGACTTATTAAACCTTAATCTTCTTGCTTGGGTGACTTACAAACTTATAGGTCATTGATAGTGGATAGAAGTGATAAGGTTACTACGTCAACTATGTGGCGTTTTTTTTAATTGCAGACTACATCAGCTATTCATTTTATCGCACAGCATAGGAAACCTAAGTTTCATTCTGATGGGCAAGCATATATATATGTATCTATAGTATTTAATATCATTGACTAAACTACCAAATCATAACCGAGATTGATCTTAGAGTAATGCTAGTCATTATAAAATGGCACTGCCTATTTAATAAGCAATTACTAACCATACGTATTATAGATATTTCTGTATAGAGGACGCCTGGAAGCAGAACAAACAGCCTCTCATGTAATCTTAAAAGCCGAGGACACTCCAAGAGGCCTGCTAGTTTCAGGAGACTACTGCGCTGCAAGGAGCTGGGCTGGCTGTGCTAGCTAGTCCAACTAACTCACAATGGACCAAGTACACAGTCTACGAGCGTGAACAGGGACCCACTACAACAACACAGTATCAGTGAAGGGACAGATTTACTGGTTATTATCATTGTCGAGTGACAAGGTGTATTATGGAAAATTGGTGGCCAATAGAATTCGCTATCGGCTTTTAGATAAAAAAAATGCAGCAATAAATACATATCTTAAAGTGACTTGAAAATAAACAAAAATAAATAATAAACAAAAATAAATAATAAACAAACAATTTTATTTACAAATTATTATTAGCGCTAACACATTAATAAATTAAAACATTGCTTTTCGCAGATCTAAAATACTTTGGACTAACTTATCATCTAAAAACAGTTTAAGGTAGTGGCATGAATGACCAACAAAACAAATGATGACTTTTTTTCTGTGATCAATTAAAATAAGGGATCAGAATGAGCTATAGTTGCTTAGTGTTACCGCAAAGGTATTATTATACATAGATGTTATTTACATTAATCACAGGAACAATGACGATTATTGGTACTTTTCGTTCATTGGTGCCACTAACTTACAGCATTAAACTAAAAATACAGATTTTCATTAAGTGTGGTGTGTGTTATACTGATGGTGACAACTTAAAAAGTTGTGACCATAAGTTAACACATCATTATGATCGCCAGTACAGTGATGAATTAAATGAAATACGATGAGCGGACATTTATAATTTACAAAACTCTCTATAATGCCCTATGATTAACACAACATATTGTACTTTTAAAGGAAAAATGCAAAAGGTAAGTTACTTATATGGCAAATCCTAATTTTATATTCAATTTATTTTTTTACATTTAGTGCAAACAGATAGACATGTTTAAAGTAATTTTGGTATCTTAATTTAAGATAATAAATAACAAATAGACTAGTTTTATTAAGTCTGACGACATGTCTCTCAGAGTACCATTCAAACATTAGGACGAATTCAAAAGGATAAACCAAACAGTGAATTTATATGTTGAAACCCATCTTCCTCATGCATGCTTTGTGTTCTTCAATAAGTGGACCACAGTTCTCTTCACCTTTTTCTATTATGCTGCAACAAATGACATGATTCGATTAAGCAATTAATAATACTGAAGTTCTTTTGTACCAATAACATGAATTTCATCATCATGATCAGCCTATTAAGGCCTGTGCCCCACTGCTGGGGCACAGGCCTTCCCTGTGGATGGAATAAGGAGTTCATGATTTTATTCTTATATATAAATAAAACACTTTTCAATAGGTTTAAAAGACGTTTTCAAGAGAAGCTATACTATTGAAAGGATGCGAATTGCAGAGATGTGTCATTAATTATAAGAAATATATATGAAAATAAAACATCTGTTACCTGTTGAAAAGTGTTTTATTTCATGAGTAGTTTGGGTGAAAACATACACATTCTTACAAATTTCTTCTGTGATTATATTTTAGACTCCCGTTTTGTGTGTTTAATGAATAGGTAGTTTAAGATAATGTTTGATTGACAATTTCATAAATATGTATTATTCATTTGTTAATTAAATTTAACAATATTATATATTATTGGATTACGAAAGTGAGGTTTCTTCCAGTTAAACAGAAAATAATATTTACAACTGTATATTATTATAATTGTTCGTTTTAATCTTAGTAAAGAGAGTTAAACCTCTTTCTCAGTATATTATCCTCTTAAAATACTAAGCAAAGTGCGTAATGATTACGCAAGATTTTTTTTATTCCAAAAAATATAACCTTACCAAGAGTCTCTCGCTCGTTTAGTTTCCGGGCAAGCACAACACGGTTTCAGTTTCGGCTTTTCATTGTTCACCGGTACTGGCGCCTCAGGTACTTTGACATCCACAGCTTTTGCACTTGCGTTACCCATTTTGATTAATTACTTTGAGATAATGAGGCAATTAAAAACAACGCGCACGTGAAATATCTTGACCTCGGTTTCGTTCGTCTTGTGATTGTCAATGTCAAGCTTGTCACTGTCACCTTTTTTTTTAATTCTGACTGACAAGTATTGTAAGCAAAAGTTTATATTTTCTTACAGACATGTTTACTTTACTTTGCATTAACTGCAGCTGCGCCAGATTTGTAGTAAAATAATAATAAAATATAACTATTTTTTAGTCACTAAATCTCATTAGAGATGAAGGAGTATCAAACCAGTCCTGCTACTAAGTTATAAGGCTACTTATGTTGGAGAATACAGGGATAAAAGTAATTAGGTACACTAAATACACACACTTACCATGCCTGGCAAACATCTTGAGCCACTACCAGCAGTTCGCTGGATTCCTAAAAGACTTCGTTAGCATCAAATTGCCAAACTTCAGTATGATTAAAATTAAGTATCATATTATTTTTCTGGACCATAATAAATACTTAACGTTCTCCGTTATAGTTGGTCTATGGTCGTACGGTTAGGATTAAATACTATGACTGTGATTGGTATCAATATCTTCGCCGGCGAAGACTAGGGGAATCCTATGTGGACTTATAATATTTAGCAAAATCAGTCTCCATAATGGAGAAATCACATTTGGTCGTTAGCCTGAATACGATTGTCTATGGCTATGGAATTCGGACAAACGACTTGGTGTAAGTGTAAACGCAGTCAAGTATGCCAGTATTTGAGCAGTTTTCGTTTTGGTTACCCGATGCCATCTAACAGTACCAGCCCGTATTCGAGTAAAACAATGTATGACCAGCTTGATAAACTTGAGCGGCTTCAGAACTTCTGTATTCGATTCATATTTGGCCTGCGCAAATATGATCATGTATCTCAATTTCGTTTACAGCTCAAGTGGCTACCTATTCGCCTTCGCCGGAATACGCACATCCTTACTCTTCTGTATAACATACTGTTCAATCCTTTGTCCCCACGCTATCTTAAGGAATGTTTTAATTTCCTTCACACTTCGAATACATTGTCCCTTAGGTCATCAGAAAATCTCGCTCTCATTACTCCTGTTCACTCTACAACTTTTTATGGCCGTTCTTTCGCAGTACAAGCCGTTCGTCTATGGAATGCTCTTCCAGTTTCCATAAGACGTGCAAAATCACTCCACATTTTCAAAAACCTTGTTAGATCTCACTATATGTCCTTGTAACCCTTCCATTTTTGTTGATCTAAGCTGAATGAATTAGACATAGGTATGTATGTATTTGTGTATATATTTATATATATGTATGTATATATATTTATGTATATGACTATGTATGTATTCTTGTAGGTATATAATTATATGTATGTATTGTTTTATATACTTATTTTGATTATATTTGTTAGAATGATTTTATATTGTTTTGTAGTAATTACACCGCCGTCTCTCCAGCTTCTTTCCTGTCCTCTCCATCCTAAGGTTGTCTGGAAGAGATCGCTCTTAGCGATAAGACCGCCCATTATTACACTGTATTCTTTAATTATGTACTTCATGTTTTATGTTTTCTGTGGTGTAAAAATAAAGAGTTTTGTATTGTATTGTATTGTATTGTATTGTAAATATTGCTTCGGGTGGCCGATTTCGAGTAATGTCTTTCATGTACTCGAAAACGGGCTATCGACCGAGTGTGATTACGCCATAAGGCTACGACTCCAGTAAGTTTTGTACAGCGTTTACATTGTGGGTTACCTACAATGCGAAGAGATGGCGATGATTTTATATAGTGGCTTCTGCCACTTCTATCTTCTTCTTTCACATCTATCGCATGTGAACAGCACATGTCCGTTTTTATTACCACAAATGGCGGAATTTCAAGTTAGTTACTGGAAAAAATTACCAGGAGGTATCATATTTCTATATGATACAGACATTTGGGTCTAGGTTGCAAGTTGATTATTACGTCTGCCCGAATAGTGGAAGGCGCAAGTTCGAATCCTCTCCGACACCTGGTAATTTTTTCCAGTAACAAACTTGAAATTCCGCCATTTCTTGTTGACACTTGAGTGTCCTCTGTGGGCGAACCTGTTTTTTGCACATTAGCACGCTTTAGAAAGCATCTTATCGCTGTGTGTGGTCTCTTTAGTTTAGGCAAAATATGTAGATGGCGTTGTGAATAAAAATGCAGTTCTCTCTTAAATTCAGATTTTTTTCATCAGTTCGGAGTACGCGCGTGAGAAAAATGGTGACGTTGTGGACGTTTCAACCGAAATGACTCCAATTTTGTAGGAAACACTCTTTTCTCAATATTATTTTTCAAACTATTTTAAGAGACGGATAAAAAGACGCTTGTGCGTTCATGAAGTTTCATATTCTAAATTAGTTCTACATTTGAAAGAAATAATTATTGTTCTTCATTGGCATTAGAGATACACATTTAGTCATTATATTTATCGAATCGGTAATTTTGGGTGTAGAATTTAATTTTACAAAGTTATATAAAATTCATGGTCTATTAAGGTTACGAAAACCTTTTCAAGTTTAAAACAATTAAATGTAATATAATTTTTCACTCTCAAACACCGGTCTTTGACACAATCTTTAAAGAAATAATATATTTAAATAATTTTTTTATTCTCATTATCATTAAGAAATGTCATAAATATCATACAAATAATAGTTTATTTATAGTGTACTTATTTGCCACATAACTTTGCATTTGTGTTGCTCGAAATTAAAAATGTAAAAACATGAAATTAATAAGATCGGTACATATAGTATCGCTGTGCGTGGGTAAGAATGTATGTTTTTGTTTTATTCAATTATTTTCGATAACAGGTTGACTTTTCGCGTCACTATTGCAATGTGTCAAAACGGCCATCATAATATCTTGCCGCGGCTTATAAGTTAAAAATTGATATAAATATTAAATTTTATATTTTCTAAGATTCTATTGGTGAATTCACTACTTTAATTAATTACCGATAATTTGGTAAATTTTCCAACACTTGAAACGGGTCAGACAGAATTAAGTTAAAATAAGATATTTATTTGAAAAAAGGGATATCTTTGATTTTTTTTCAATCGAGTGAAGTAATTCTAATTGTGTATTTACTATACTACTTATTTCACTAGTTAAAGAGGCTCAAACAATATCATTTATTTTTAAAACTCACTAAGAAGAAGTACTTTTATAAAGTAACTGAAATATTTTATAGCTCTTCATAGATATTTCGCGAATCGGTAACGCCTTCATATGTTTGTGTGAGAGCACGCAGGAATTTAGTTTTGACATACGTATTTTTCCCAAAATTACTAAATATTTTTATGCAAGTCCCAGCTCAGCCCCTCGCCACCTCGGGCCACCCACTTGGTCCTTGCGCCCTAGGCCAGCCTTATTAATCTGTGGGTAAATCAGGCCCTGACATTGGCTCAAAGTTTCTGCAGTTCCGTGAAGTACTAACAAGAAAGCTGTTTGTTTTTAAACAAGGCTTTTTATTTTCTGAGCACAATATCCGCTTTCGAACAATTAGTAACGTTCCAGCGTCGAAAAGACCACAGGATATTAACCAAGCCTTTGATCTCATCGCATATATTTATACTGCAGACATGCAGTGAAGTGCCCGGGGCGCGGCGCCCGCCAGCTCGTTTTTTATTAGTGTACGGCCAGAGTGCACTCAGATTCAGACTCAGATTCAGATTCTGAAAACAAGCGCTAGAAATAAACAGTGTCGTCTAAGCACGTTGCCTGCTTTTTCTCGCGCTTTGTTTTCTGAGTCTGAATCTGAATCTGAATCATTCTCGCGCTTGTTTACGGAATCTGAATCTGAATCTGAATCTGAGTGCACTCAGATTCAGACTCAGAAAACAAGCGCGAGTTTTTTTTTTTATGTTATATGCCCCCGCATATGAGCAGACGGCTCACCTGATGGTAAGTGATCACCGTCGCCCATGGACACTTGCAACACCAGGAGTATCACAAATGCGATGCCGGCCTTTAAGGAAGGAGTACGCTATTTTTTTGAAGGTTCTTGGGTCGTATTGGTCCGAAAACACTGCTGGCGACAACATATTCCACAGTTTTGTCGTACGTGGTAAAAAATTTGGACAAAAACGTTTAAGAGTAATTTTAAATTTTAAACAGTGTAGTTTAAGCAGGTTGCCTGCTGCCACTATACCCTGCTTTAACTTCACTGTTTATTTCTCGCGCTTGTTTTCTGAGTCTGAATCTGAATCTGAGTGCACTCTGGCCGTACCCTTAGAGTACAACTTTACGAAGCATAGCATTGTAGCTGCATGGACACACACACACACATACAAACATGTACACACCCCCACTTCATAAAGTTATCATGTGACAAATTCCTGGCTCCGTAGCATGAGCACCACAATTTACATTAAATCACGTTTTTTATCCCGTGTAACTTTCAAACTTCATAGTAATTTGACAACTGAACGTGATAAAAACGAGCTATATGTCATATCGCGCTGCTCATACGTGATAAAAACGAGCTATATGTCATATCGCGCTGCTCATGCTGAAAACCCTTTTATATCGGTATTTAGTGTTTGTTTTTCTTTTTTTTTCCTCCTATCCAATCTTAATATAATTTTATGTTAGTAAATAATATGATTTTTATTATACTTTTTTTTAAAAATTAAATGTGATATTGTTAATATAGTAACGCCGTTAGTATCTAAAGTGTACATAAAAAGTTTCTGTAATTGGCCTTCACATTGTATTTATATTTTATTGTATAACATCCACAAAAATCACTGTAGAAAGTTTGATAAAGATAAATAAATAAATAAATGCAAAAATGCTGTTTCAAACGTTATGCATTTTTAAACGAATATCATTATAAAGCCTCTGCTGTTCGTCCGTCTGTCAGAGAGCTGTATATTTATTATGAATTTATAGTTATTAAAGCTCGCTGACAGTACAAGTACAACTATTAAAAAAATCTGCCCCTGTGAACTTCTTACCGCCATTTTATTTCTATTAGATTTTTTAATGTAATTTTAGGGTTCCGTTGTCCGTCTGTCTGACAATATTTACCTTTATCCTGGGAACACGCGG